GACACAGGCTGCTCGCCTAATCACAGGCATAAATTAGTGCTCCTTGAGCCGAGGAAGAGGCTCGTTTCGTAGTGTCTGCAGTAACACTGGGAAATTTACATTTTCTCGTCGAGCACTCGTGAATGCAGCGATGTTAAAAATGAAAATGGAATATTTAAAAAGGGCGTGTTAGGTTAATGGTCATTGATAGTCGAGTTAAAATTTCGACGATTTCATCGACGAAGCGACGTTTGGAATTGAAATTCCAATATTGTCTAGTAAATTGTCTCGATGGATATGTAGAGCTCCAAATTTATTTACAATTTTCATCGTGGAAGTATGCGTTTCCATTCCGTTTTTCGTTCCTTTTACTCCGTTTCTTCTTTTCCTTTTATGGAGGTTAAAAGAAAGTTCGGTGGTGCGGGTTTAAAATGGTTGCATTCACGAGTCCTCGAGGGATGGTTACACGCTTTCGTCGAAATTGAACGTTAAATGATACTGTGTGTACACTGACTATCGTATAACTTACATCGCTAAACACGTTTAAGATAGGGGTTTCGGTTATGTTTATACATTTTTAGTCCCACGTTTAGGCGACGCGCGAGCTCGTCGATGAAGGTAATTAATCCTCGTACAAATTTGTACTGGGGATTGAAGACTGTAGATAATTTTAAAAAGACAAAAAAAGATAAGAATTATCAGATATAATTATTCAAAATTTACCAAAAATGATAATAATAAAGAAATTTAAATGTCAGCCGAAAATAATAATTATGGGCAATAAAGAAGAAAGAAAAAGTGAATATTAGTCTTCCCAATTCCTAATAGCTTTCATGGATCACTATACTAAATTAAATATATGTTCATTTCAGGTCGTGCATAACAAATTTCCTTTCTAGAAATTTAAGAAATACTGCTATCTAAACTAAACGTTGAATTTATTTAAGAAACAACTAGATGTATTACAAAATTCAATAAAATACAAAACAGAGGACTAAAATTATTTACCAAATCTGCCACGTCCATAAAATTATCTAAAATCCCTATAATGGGTTGCTGCCAATTATATATATGATTACTTTTAAATTCAATAAAATATGTAAGAAAGAAGAAAAATTATTTATAAAATCTACTGTATCCCTAAAATTACCTAAAATTTTTAAATTGGAATGCTCCAATTATGCATATATTACATAATTCAATAAAATAAGTAGGAAAGAAGAAAAATTATTTACCAAATCTACTATGTTCCTAAAATTACCAAAAATCCCCAAATTAGAATACTGCAATTATACATACATTACAAAATTCAATAAAATATGTAAGAAAGAAGAAAAATTATTTATCAAATCAACTATAATATAACTTAAAATCCCCAAATTGAAATACTCCAATTATGTACATATCACAAAATTTAATAAAATATATAAGAAAAAAGAAAAATTATTTACCAAATCTACTGTGTTCCTGAAATTACCAAAAATCTGTAAATTAGAATATTCCAATTATGTTGCAATATTATAAATATATCACAAAATTGAAAAAAACATAAGAAAGAAGAAAATTTATTTATCAAATCAACTATATCATTTATCATATCATATATCAATTATTTATCAAATCAACTATAAAATTACTTAAAATCCCCAAATTGAAATACTCCAATTATGTACATATCACAAAATTTAATAAAATATATAAGAAAAAAGAAAAATTATTTACCAAATTTACTGTGTTCCTGAAATTACCAAAAATCTGTAAATTGGAATATTCCAATTATGTTGCAATATTATAAATATACCACAAAATTGAAAAAAACATAAAAAAGAAGAAAAATTATTTATCAAATCAATTATATCATTTATCATATCATATATCAATTATTTATCAAATCAACTATAAAATTACTTAAAATCCTCAAATTGGAATACTCCAATTATGTACATACCACAAAATTCAATAAAAGAAAAAAGAAAAATTATTTACCAAATCTATTATATCCCTAAAATTACCAAAAATCCCTAAAACGGGTTATTTCAATTATACATATGAATATATTAGAAAATTCAATAAAACAAAATAATGAAAATTACCAGTAAACTCGAAGGACCTTCATCGAAAGCTCGTCGACGTGCAGAATCAAACGACGATCTAATACAGCACCGAGAAACACCCACCACGGTTCACCTACGAGTTTGTCTTACCTACACGTATGTACACACCGCATGCACGTCTATATAGACACTCTTATCGTTTAGAAATATCAAAAGAATTCGCCTGATTCACCCCGCTTTGCGGGGCCCCGGTTTATCCCTCGCCCATTCCTCCGGGCATTCGACAACCCCCGTGGCTCGCTCTCGGGGGTGTATCCTCTCGACAACGATTCAAAGCCGGGCTACGAGCACGTTCGCTGAAAATAGAGTAAATTTCCGGGACGACGTGTCGTCGGGGATGATTGCGGAGCAAAGG